GTTAAAATACATTGTAATATATTAAGAAGTGTTTCATAGCTACTGCCTCCTTAGCCTTGAGACCAAAGAAATAGATGGTGCCTAGCTTCTATTACTGAACATTTTGGTCAAGGAATAAGTAGCTGAACCCTAATCAAAAGGGAGGAAATGTGGAACAGAATTTCAATATCTTGTAGGGCCTATTGAGATTGGAGGATCCCCTGAATCTATTGCTCTGAGAAAATCTTCAGGTTATGAACCAAAATTATCTTCTGCAGTTAAGCTGTTTAGCTGAACTAAAAAAGAATGGTCACCATGTACGATGAGAATTGTACTCTTTTAAAGAATGATATATATGAGATCAAATTGTCAACAGTATAGATGTTTAGTTTAGGGAACAGTGAACCTGAGTCAATGGTGTTAAAACAATATGGGTAGAGATACCAAGAATGGTGACTCAATATTAAGAATGTAACCAGTGCTATTGAATTGTACACATAAGAAATGATCAGTAGGTGTATGTTCTGCTCTGTATCTTTTCACCAAAATTAAGACAAAAGAAAATTTTTAAAAAAGTGTTTCATAACTAAATAATTTTTACATTAAAATTTGAATCAAGGTTTAGGTAGAAAAATTTTATTTCACTCATTGGTCAGCAGTTTAAATGCTGTGAAATACTTAAGCATTTATGATTTCTTAGAGTAATTTGGAAAATGTAAATTGGTTTTGGATTTAAAACTACTCATTTATTTCTACCATTGATGCAGAAATATTCAGTCTAGGTTTTAGTGAAGTCTGGGTTAAAAAATAATTGTCTGTGGCATACATTAGGCCAACGTGAAGTTGTATTTCTTAATCTAGGATGTTTCTGACTGCTGATTTTTTTCCTCCCTTTAGGTGAGGCAGGCAACCAATCAGATTGTGATGAATTGTGCTGATATTGATATTATTACAGCTTCATATGCACCAGAGGGAGATGAAGGTAAAAACTGTTTTCCATTTTAATATGCTGTTTCTGGGTGTATGTACATACTTGTGTGTGTGTATGTGCACACATGCATGTATATAAATATATGCCTTTTTGGGGGCTCTGGTAGCATAGTAGCTAAGGCATTTGACTGCTAACCAGAAGGCTGGTGGTTCAAACCCACCAGCCACTCCTCGGAAGGAAGATGGGGC